ATATCTGTGACTTGATAATCTGTGGTTGTGGGCATATATATATTAGATAATAAAAAGGCATATATTGGATTGAATAAAAGATTTATTTGCCAATATTTCGGTTGACTCAACGCCAAACCTTTATCAAGGCATTACATTTTTGTATAAACAAACTCAGCGCCGCATAGTGTTATAATATCACAGTTGAAATAATATTAAAAACACATATTAGGTGGGGAAAATTTGTGCATGCAAAAATTGTTACAAATAAGATTTTAACAATTTCAGCTATTAAAAATTAAAAGTGAACAACTATGCGAAAATTCAATAATTTTATATAATAATATTATATCATAAAGATAGAGGCTGCCTGGCCGGCATTCTTAGTTCTTTAAAAAAAATAGACACTTCGGCCAGTAAATCTTTTTTATTGTCTCGACGTTTCGGCAAAAATATTTTGTCCTCTTCAGGAGCAAACAAAAATTAAAACTTATTGCAAAGCGATAAAAATTAATAATCATTTTTATCGCTTTGCCAAAAGTTTCAATTTTTGTTTGCTCCTGACGAGGAAAAAATATTTTTGCCGAAACGTCGAGACAATAAAAATGATTTACTGGCCGAATTGTCTTTAATTTGAACAACTATGAATATTCTAATAAAGTTCGAACCTAAAACTTATTTTTTAATAGCACTAGATATTTTAAAAATCAGACGTAATTCAAAACCTTTTGTTTATTCTTATCAAGGCAGTTTTTCTCTCAATTTATATTTCAAATTATTAGAAAATCTTTCAAGTCTAGTTATTCTTTTGCTATTTTTTTCCTTCAACACAATTTTTATTATTTTTTGAGAACAAAACAAGTCACTATTATTAGATACAATGCGCTTCGTTATAGAAACTTTCAAACTTTAATGATATAGTCGTTAATGAGTTTTTATAGTAGTTGTGTTTTTATGGTTTGTTTTTGTAACTTACAAATAGATGGTTAAATATAATATTTTATCAATATTTATGCTAAGAATAAATTCACATAAGATTTGGTCAGTTGGTATTTTATAGACCCAAACGAATATTTAGATTGATATATATATAAATATGTCGTACCTTAGGTCTTTCAATTAACCGGTCAGGATATTCCTCTTTTGTTTCTAATAGAAAAGAATAATTTTACAAACATTTGTAGATTATTTTATATTAAGAACTAAAATCGTTCTATTCAAAATGGCACACCCTTTGTATATATAACACTAAATGTCTATAAATAAATATATTGTGCTTTCTTTGAATAACAAATACGCATTCAAGAAAGAGAAAAACCTAAACAAATATAATAATTCAGAGAACCATTTTTTTAAACAGAAAAAAAGGTTCCATTAAGATAAACTAGCTAAATCTCCAGATAAGCATTCTAAATCTCTTTGAAAAGTTTGAAAAACTCCTTAAATCTGCGAGACATGCTTTTAACTAAGACGTTTACTATTTTGATTTTCATTTAAATTTATAAATAACTTGTATAATATCTGGTCCTTCGAATATAATATTTATAATATACACATCTTAATATAAAATATCTTTAATTAATATAATTAATGGTTATCTTATTATATATAAAATTCAATGTCGGTTGTCTGTTTCGCGATAAACTCAGAAACTACTGACCCATTGGTTCCGAATTTTGCATTTCGATTTTTATAAACCTGAGGTAAATGTTAAGCTCTATTTTGATTAGTATTTTTGGCTATTTATTTTTTTTTTATTTGAAGAACTTTTTTTTTACGCGGAGTAAATACGAGGCGAAGTAACAACACCAGGATAATTAAGCAACCAATGAGGGTTCTGCATTTTTTTTTTTCAAGTTGTTTGCATACTTTTTTGAAATATCTTTTTATACGAGTGTTACATTTTTTTACAAAAGTATTGAGTATTAAGAGAGAAATTTATATTACTAAGTTACGGTAAGTGCACACAGTGCAATTAAAAAAAACTACAAAATTAGCGTTACTGTATGTAAATAATGGCTTTCTTATTTATTATTAATTTTTTTCTGGCCTTTGTTTTTTTATCTCTTATTTTTTAAAATCGTTTAAAATGCATTCGCAGTCATTAATAAACACATATATTGCGTAATTTCTATGTGCTCTTTTATTTTTTGCATAAAAATATTTACATGCCAGTATTTTGGATTGATTTTTTTATAAACCTATTTTTCCTTATGCTTACTGAGAAGATGGGCATCGCAGTCACTCACTCAACTCAGGCAATTTCAAGGGTTGATGCGCTGGGGCGGGTACCTCGGGGGTTGGGTGGAAAAGCTGCCATCTCTTTAAACTATATTGATTTTGAAACAACTAAATGGATTACAAAAATGATTAAATTAAATACCTAAACAGTATTATAATACAATTTGTGCCATCACACACACCTTTTGCCTGTGGTTTATGTATTACTTCTGTATTGATATTCTATGGCACTTCTGCTATTTATTATTGATGTACTTTCAGTATGAAGGAAATTGCACCCGGGGGAATTCTCGGGCGAAGCCGGGGTATTCGTCTAGTTAAATATAAATTCGTATCTTAAGAAAAAAAAGATTAAAACGATCATTTCACTGAATTACTTTGTCAGGAAAATAAATCAATATATATATATATATATATATTATATAATCTAAAAACTCAAATATTTCTATATTTTAAAAATATATTTTTTATTTTATTCATTGATAATTTTACTTTTGTTATCATCGTTTTTAGAAAGACTTTCAGTTTTGTTGTAAATATGCGTAGTTGACATACCTATCCTTTTAAATCACTAATATAGGATTAACTTTATAAATTCTATATAATGTGAAAATAACTAATGTGTAATCTTTCCTCAAGTATTTGAAATAAAAGCTACTTGACGGTAAATAATTATATATATATTTTTATCACAACTGCACCTCAACCCTTTATCTTATCGATCCTTTGTCTTATCAACCCTTTATCTAAAAACAACAACAAATTATTCATAACATATATATATATGTCATAATTTGTATATAATTGTATGCACCCCCGACCCACTATGCATGTACAATGTATGATTTTCAAAGATTTAATAAAGAATAAGGTAACTGGAGGAAAGAAAGTAGCAACAAGACATAGGAAGCAGGCTAAAAGCGGGCACAAGTATAAATAACTTGTACAGTCAATACTTCCTGGCAAGGCCGGTCGTATCTGGTGACCGCAAATAAAAGTAGAGAGACGCCCAATATTTCCGGACAGGACCGGACGTATTTGATAATCGCGGAAGTAAATAGAGTCGAACTAACACCCGATACTTCCTGACCAGGCCGGGCATATCTTCCACCAAAGAAAGCCGCCGGTCCAATTAGGAAGCAATAACTAAGTAGGTCAACCAATAGAAAAACGGGCACGTTCCATCCTTCGACCAATGGGAAGGAAGACAACTCGTGGTGTTAAATCGAGAAGCAAGAATTGTCAGTAGTGATTTGGCTCTCATAGGAACAACACCTAGAGTTGCTCCTTCGCTCCCAACGAGGTGACATCTGCTCTAGACCTCTCTCCCCCCGCTCAGCTCATAGCTAAGTCAATCACCGCCATGTGATCAGATAATTAACAATCAAAATCGCTCCGCTCTTCTCAAGCTTTCTTTCCTCCAACCCAGTTGCCTTTTATTTTCAAACCCCATCACGTGTCCTGATTATTCCTAACTGTATGCTTCAACTTCCACTCAAACGACTGCGTTTCAACCAATCCTCACCATTCAAATCGAACAACAAGAAATTCCGCAACGATATTGTCACAGAACGGTTAAGTCGACAGGATTCTACAACAGTGTAATACATCAAATATTTCAGTGTAATAACTTTGGATATATTACATATATCTTTTTAATTTATTAATCAACCAGAGGAAACAAAACAAGGAATAAATTAGAACTTAGATTCAAATATTTCCATATTTACATATATTATTCTACAGAGTTCATAAAATTTATATAGACAAAGTGGCGGATGTAAGAGAGTTAAACATTTATATCAGGGAACAAATGATATCTCACTTCTGTAAAGTTCGGACAGTCGTAGATAAGGTGAAGAGCAGTTTGTTCAGTTTCTCCACAGGAACAATTGGTGTTTCTGATAGACCTCTTTTATGTATTTCAACATATGTTAATTCAATTGATTGCTTAAAAATAGTAAGCTTCTAAAACAACGAGAAAATTAGTGTGTATTCGTTTTCCATAACAAATAATCACTATTTTTATAAATCGATTAAAAATATGTTAGTCAAATATTCTTAACAAACTATTTAAAAACCTATTAGGATGCCATTTTTAACTATCAACAAACTATTACCATTTTTTTAACTATCCAATTACTAAAACATGATTGATCCTTGTATGCTAATGAACCATTTTCTCTTTAACATTTTTTAATTGTAAATCAATCGGAATATATAAAAATCGTATACACCAAATAACGTAGGATGATATTTTAAAAAATATAGTTAATGAGATACTTAATTAATTTGATCAATTCTAACTATTATTAATGGTAAAGATTTTATAGTTAGAGTTTCTCTGTGGGGGAGGTAACTGAGTTGTTTAGTGGAAGATAGATTGTTGGTAAAGATAATAAAACTGTTCGGCCTCAGTGAGTGAAATTTCCCTCGGGAGTCGAGAAAATGAGTCAAACACTGTAAAAGGAACTAACCCTAACATTAAAATTGCTGCCATCTATTGTGAACTTTAGGAATTAATTCAACACAATCTATTTTTAAAATATATTTTAAATGTTTTATAAGGTTGTGTCCCAAAAGTTCGTGTTTTTTTTAAACGTTATTTTTCTTATTACTTTTGGCGAATAAATAATATTATTACGGCGAATACATAATACAATTACTTTATACATATAATATACAGTTGTTAGCGTCATAATCAATTCTTTCTTAATCAATTCTGTCACCGTTTGCTTTTGTGAATGGAATAAATACCCAAATATGGCCATTTCTCATAACCATCGGTGGTTCAGTGGTAGAATGCTCGCCTCGCACGCGGGCGGCCCGGGTTCGATTCCCGGCCGATGCATTTTTTTTTACAATTTTTAAAACTCATTTATATATTATACAAGAATGACATCCACGGCGCCAATTTATAATTGTAACGAATAGTATTTGAATAAAAGCATTTAATCGGGTAAAACCCGGGCGTTGCCCGGGTCATTTGGCTAGTAATTCATAGACATTATACATAACGGCGAATAATATTGTAACATTAAATTTATTCATCGCGTGCCTCGGCGCGCTGGTCGCGAGGAAAATAACTCTTGTATATTTTGTTTTGGTAAATGAATGTGATCAGCCTTTCTTTCAGATTTTGATATTTAGAATATTTTATTTATGAATGTAAAGATCAAAATCTGAAAGAAAGGCTAATTTCATTCATTTACCAAAACAAAATATACAAGAGTTATTTTCCTCGCGACCAGCGCGCCGAGGCACGCGATGGATAAATTAAACGTTACAATAATAATACAGTGAATACATAATATAATACAATTACTTTATACATAATACAGATACATTATACATAACGGTGAATAATATTGGTATTTTAATTTTTTGGCAAATGTTTACGAACTTTTAGGACCACCTTGTACTAAGTGTGTGTAGAATATTTATTTATTTAAAAACACAAACGCGATATCCCAGCTAGGGATAATTGCGTCGATTTACATTGTTAATTATACTTTTCTTCGTAAAAATATATAACAAAAATATAACCTGTCTCTTCTCTATGCAAAACCATTTATAAAATATCTATATTATTCTTGTAATCCAGTTATGTAAATATTTTTGCAGGTGAGTTTGTTTATTCCGCACAGGTTTCCCCAATCTCTGTCCTTTCACGAGGAATCTTTGATACAAGGTACAGCTAGGCCTGGAAGAAGTCATTGGCATAGTTTCAACTCCGGAATATGTCCCAAAACGGTCTAATTTGCCCATCCCTCCTTCATACCTTCCCACATAATTTGACCTATACATTAAAGGATTAAGTAAGATCTCACTCTCATATATATATTTTCAAATATAAAAGGCATATATTGGATTGAATATAAGGTGTATTTGCCAATATTTCAGTTGACTAAACGCCAACCTTTGCCAAGGCATTATCTTTTTGTATAAACAAACTCAATAAAAAATGTAATAACTTGACAAAAGTTGGCGTTCAATCAATCGAAATATTGGTAAATAAATATTTTTTCAATCCAATATATACATTTTTATTATCTAAAGATATAAATATGGATTTCTCTATATACAGAACAATATATATGAAAATACAGGGTCCATCATGAAAGTAATGCGCATAATGTTATTGTGACGCGACGATAGATGGCAGCACGGTAAAACCGTGGGAAATGTGGTGGAGGGATATGCCCTTTCAATCCATGCGGTCGTCAGTTGAGTTCGAGCAGTGTGAGGGGAGATACATGCCTCCTCTTGAAGTGTGTTTTCAACTTTTGTAACATAGCGCGATGGAGCGTTCGCTTAAACAATGATACGCCATATGTTTTGCGTGAGGCTTGGAAAAAATGCAACCGAAACATTCCAGATGCTGCAAAAAGCCTTCAAGGCGATTGCATTTCAAGATCACAGTCTGGGAAGTGGCACAAGACGTTCAAGGAGGGCCGGGAGGAGGTCGCCGACGAACCTCGTTCAGGACGCCCAACAACGGCCAGTTTTGCGTACCGACCGTCGATTAAGCATCCAGCAAATTGCTGACACATTACACATGTACACATTTGTGGTACATGGGATAGTGACCGAGGATCTGCAAATGCGTAAGGTCTTTGCGAAGCTTGTGCCGAAAGTGTTGACGCAAGACCAGAAAGAACTTAGAGTTTTGCGCTTTCAAGAAATGTTGGATTTGATTCAAAATGAACCGGACTTTCTGAACTCTGTAGCAACCGGAGACGAATCCTGGATGTTTGAATACGACCTAGAGTCGAAAAGGCAGAGCTGTGCATGGCACACAAAATCATCCCCACGCCCCAAGTAAGCGCGAATGAGCAAGTCGCGCATCACAACGATGATCATTGTCTTCTTTGACATCCGAGGAATAGTCCATTGTGAGTTTGTACCGCAGGGACAAACTGTAAACTCAGCCTTTTACCTGGAGGTGCTCAGGAGATTGAAACGCCGGATCGCACGCGTGAGGACTGACATTAAAGACACGGTCAAGCTCCACCATGACAATGCCACCAGCCACACAGCCTTCATCATTACCAACTTCCTGGCCCGGAGCAACACCCCGGTGATCCCTCACCCCCCTTACAGTCCCGACTTAGCTCCAGGTGACTTCTTTTTGTTTTCGCGACTCAAGAGAGAGATGAAAGGAAAACCTTGGGAAACCGTGGAAAACATCCAACACCATGTTACAACGTTCCTGAGAAGCATTCCTGTCGAGGAGTTTCAGGGTGCCTTTCAGGCGTGGCAAACGCGTCTCCGCAAGTGTATTGATGCAGGAGGAATGTATTTTGAAGAATATTGAACGTTTGCACAAATTACGATCAATAAATGTATTTTGCCAGTAAATGCTCATTTCTTTCATAATGGACCCTGTATTATGTCTGGGATATGAAAATTGGCACGATATGAGCGTCATTTGCATATACATGTGCATTCTGTTTGTTTAGAATAATCCTACGCAAGATTTTACCTATGGATATGAAGCCTTTTCCTGAATATAAGTTAGCTTGAAAAAGGTCGCTGCCATAGTTTCAACCGTGGGATATTCAAATTAGTTGACAGCATGATAATTTACATATTTAGTTTGTTCTGGATTCTTAGAAAAGTAATAAATCAACAAAGAATTGTATCGTTTTTTTAGCTCATAATTCCAAGGCGGTTTGAGATAGAACGCTTTAAAAACTTGGGATTTTGGCTTGCGCCTTTAAGGTCTCAAATCACTCTCAACTTCGAATATTGGGAACAGCATCCCTCTCTCAGACAAGCATATATCGTATTTACATATGTTGTTGTTGTTGCTTATTCCTCAAGTCGTTTAAACGATCTCCATTAGGTTCCATTGTCTCAGCTTTTCTATTATAGTCCTGAGGTTTTCCCAGATGTCTTTTTAAGAAAAGAGAGGTGCTGTTGGTCTGAAGACCTGGAAGTACCACTCAGTGTGACTTTGCTTTTTTTGGTTATAAGATATAAAAAAATATTATTTATATAAGCTTATAAATTTATATAAATGCCTTGCTCTGATTCGAGTATAAATAAATGTGAAGAGGTATAAGTTTTAATTCTCTCCAAATACATATATAGCCCGCTGCAATGTTTCTCCATTTATATTTATTATATTTGAGTGTGAAATTCTATATATTTACTAATGTATAATTTGTTGTGTATAGGTGTGTAATAATTCTGCTATTATCTTCCATCCATTTTGATACATCCACAGGTATGTAGTTTTGTAGATATTTAGTTTTACTTTGTGATAGTACAGTAGCATAATATAGTGTGCAGGTAAATGAACTAAAATAGTATTTATAATAAATATATATGTAAGAACTTGGAAGTTCATTATCCCCAAGACTCGTGTATCTATAAATTGAATCTACAAATTTTATCTACAAATTGTATCTACAAATTGAATCTACAAATTGAACAAAGATCCAGCGGATAAGATTTCTACCTACGATGTAGGCATCAATTCTATTTTAGATCTTTATTTTATATTTTAACTAAATCTCTGTAATTTTTGTGAGAGAATGTACTCAGGTAAATAAACATTGAAACAAAAAAATTTAAGTTCATATAAAAAATAGCGTACCTGTATCTGTAAAGAAAAAAAAACAATTTTTTCTCAAAATATTCCGAGAGATTGCTCCCTCTTTATCAATTTATTGTACATTACAGATCCAGGTACCTCCTTTTTTATATAAACCTATTTATTGGATCACCCTTTGACTCAAAATTTTAAGACATTAGAGACTTCTTTATCGAAAATATTATGTTTTACCCCCATTTTATGAAATGTGCAGTACCATTTAAGAAATATATATTTTATATTATTGAAATATTACAGAAATTAGTATTCCAATAGGTTTTATTTGAACCTTATCAATATATTTAAAACTATTTTAAGCTTTCAATAACTTGGTATTTTTTCTGATAAATATATCGTACACACGTTTTTCTAACCAATACCTTGATGACCCCCTCCCAAAGAAAAATGTATATTTTACAATTTCTTTTTTTTTAAACGCCGTGAATATAGGAAAAATCAAAATCTACCAAGTATCAATTTATTTTCCAAAAATTGTTACTTGCACAATTGAAAGGCCAGGATATATAAAATATATGGTTGAAATCGAATCAGGGATTTTATAAAGGTTAAAGAAGGGGCTGGTGTCATTCTTCTATTTTTTGCAACCTTACTTCCTTAAGTTTATGCAAAACCCGATCTTTATTGATGACTTTTTTTTAAAGAGATAATTTATTCTTAAACCTCTCCTCTTATTTCAGCAAATATGTAGGTTTTACTATTTCAGATTTTGTTGTTTTAGCATTTCACAAAGGCGTACTTATATATTTTTCTATATATATATATATATTTGCCTTTTTAATTAAAGATTCATTTATGGATTGCTCTATTTTCAAAAGAAAAAAATATATAATGAAAGGATTAAAGCATGAATGTTTCTTTTATACATAATACAAACTTCTACTGTCCTTACTGCGATGAAATATTTGTATGTAATTTTACTGTCCTATAAGCTTATGTCCATAGTTTGCCTAAATACCATTTCTGAGATTCCACCCTTCAGTGCTGCGTATATAAGCAGAAGGATCCAATACAGTATTAGATCTCTAAGAAGCGGTCTGGTAGATTAAATTGGCGAAACCGCTGGGAAGGTTCACCACTGATGAGCCAAGCCCTCCCAATATATATTTTCATCGCAGTAAGAACAGTAGAAGTTTGTATTGTATATAAAAATATTCGTGCTTAAATTCTTTCATTATATATAGATGGCGCGTTATTACTTTTTGTTATAATATATTTTTCTAAATAAATTT